ATTTTACATTTCAATACTTTTCTTGGATGTAACTGGGACCCTGTGTACACAATTGCGTTCCACCGCATGTATGACGAATAAAGAACCTTGTCTCCTTGAACAAAACACCAACAAGCACTACGTGTATCATATAACTTTTAATAAAAATGTTAGCATTAACGCTTGGCGTCAACCCTGTCGGTGTGTGTTAGTAAAATATCTCACGAACCACCTGTTGGGTTTTATTGAAACTTTTAGGAAATAATCATTGGACGGACATCTACAAATAATGAACTTATTGAGACAACACGATTTAACACGACAACCAGAGCGGATCAAACCAGCAAAACAAGCGGCTTTAACTGCCAGTCTGACAACTGCTGAGGTAAAGATTCGTATTTTGAGCACCAACAGGTCTCGCATGAGACGTTGCTAACGCAGTCCTTTTTGTTTTTTAAATCACAAGATGAAAGTTTAACGCACTTCGCTTTGGGACAATCCTGCAGTGACGGGGTTTGTTTGTTCTTTCCTAGCAGCCTTCTCGATCCCCTGCATCGCAGCAGAGGCATTCGTTGAGGACACGCGACATCGACGTGTGCGAACGTTTGCGTTTATGTGCACATCTGCTGCTGAGAGAGGCCGAACATCAGGCAGGAAGGGTGTGTGTTGAGTGGTTTCCTCTCTCGTAGGCTCACTGATCAGAACGAGCCGAGGGTGTGAAGGGTGTGTTCTCGTTGGGTTTTTGTGGTGGCAGTTGAGCTGGCAGCCTTTGTTTGTGTGGATAACAAACACAAACAGTGTGATGTTGAGAAAAGAATAATAAAAATAAAAAAAAAGCTAAAGTGTGCACGGTGCTGGAGGCTGTTAACCGTTGAGCTTGCGCTTGCCTTCCTGTGGCTCGGGGTCTGAGAACCTCAGTGTGATTGCAACTCGTCCATGTGACCTGGTTTCCGTTTGCCTGCCTGCTTCCGTAAAGAGTCTTTTTTTTTTTTAAGAAAAAGGGCATTAGGTGCTTCAGTCGGAGCAGAGCAATGCAGCCGAATGTCACACGCATGACAAGAGCTTCTGCAACTGCATGTAACCCAGCGATATGGTCAGGGGATCAACCGTCGGTGGCTTGGGAAATCCGCATCTAACCACCAGCGTGAGTACACGAGCCGGCTCTGATCTGCTGCTGCCGTGCGCTAAAAGGAGCTAAAATAACTTAGCTGAATTTAAACATCTTTAGCTTTTGAAGCACTTTGGCACAATATGCTTTTAGGCACACTGCAAACGTATCAAAGCCACTTTACAGAAATGGTACCCTTATAAACAATTAATAAATAGTTAATAATGCGGTAACTACTTGGTAATAATGCTGTTATTCATTAGAGGACCCCAAAGACCTTATTTGTGTCTGGACCATGGATCTGGATCCTAATTCATTCTTGCATAGATCCATATTGATTGTCAAATTTCAGTAGAATGGGACAATTACTTTGATAAAGTATTTACACAGTCTGTATTTTATACATTTTTCAATATTTTAATAATTATTTTTATGTGGCTCAGCTTTTCAAGTATTTACGGTAATTCGTTTTAGGCTGTGCAACTTTTCTAACATATATGGTATTTAATTTTAAGCAGTGCAGCTTCCATTTTTTAGCGTTTACAGTAATTCATTTTAGAAGGCGCCGCTTTTCTGATATTTACGGTAATTCATTTTAGAAAATGCATATTGTTAGATATTTACAGTAATTAATTTTAGGCAGTGCAGCTTGTCTGATATTTACAGTAATTTTGAGCAGAGTAGGTTTTTTGTATTTTTTAGCATTTACAGAGAATATATTAGGAAGATCATCTCTTCTGACATTTACAGTAAGTCATTATAAGCGGTATAGCCCATTTTATAACATTTACAGTAATCCGTGTAGTTTAGGCAGAGGTACAGAAAAAATTAACGAAATCCAGCAGTTGCAGATGTTACAGCGTGACGACAGGAAAGAACAAACTGTTTATCTGGATGGCTGTAAAATACAGCAGCAAAAGCTGGTAAAGGATTTAAACGTGAAACGAATTTAATCACGTCTAATTTATATAAACATGTTTACTATTATAGGTTAGCCACATGTGCTGTGGAAAAACGGAACGTAAAACCTCCATGTGTCCTTTGCACGACATTGGTTTGTAAATAAAATCGGGAAATTTCAGCAAAGTTGCTGTTCTCGTGAGAAAATATAACATTCGTTGCAGGCTGAGGCACAATTTCAAGAGTCTGTCCGATTCTTCTCTTCCTACGAATGAAAAAAATGTAGCTTTTAATATTTTGGTTCTTTTTTCTGAAGTCTAACAAGACTGAGTCGGGTCCTCTGGACGGATTCTTCTTTACGGAAAGGTTTCATCTTTTATCCGAAAGACTTCATCAGTCTTAGGAGCTGCAACAAACTCAGTCTTGTAAGCAGCACCTTCTCACAGTGGATCGACCAGTTTGCTGGGGACAGCCAAAATTAGCTGTTCACGTGATAAAGGAGGACATCATCCTAACGATGGATTGTTAGTGCCCTGATGGACGCTTGCTATTCACAGAGGGCTGAGTGATGCTAGCAACAACAGCATTGTAAGATGATGAAAGTGAGGTCTCCACCTCTGTTTAATGATGGACGAGTTCTCTTCACAAAGATGGCCTCCTTTACTTCCTTTCCTCTCTATCAAGGATGTGCACATCCTCATCCCTGAAAGAGTGACCTCTGGCTTGCAGATGAATGTAGACCGAAGAGTCCACAAACCTGATGATGTTGCTGGTCCATCCTTTTGGCCAGTGGCTGTTTAGTTTCTCCAATGTATGATTGATCACCCTCCTGGCACTGAACAACATACACAATACTACTGTTTGTGCAGGGGGACAGCATCTTTGGGATGGACCAGTCGTTGCCGTAATGTATTTTGGGGTTTGAAAGCCACTGGGACGTTGTTTAGAAAATAAACGTCTCCGTTTCTTTGAAACTTCCGCAACATACGGAATGACCACTGTTCATTGACGATGTCCTAAATATCCTAACTAGGATATCGATACAATATCCTAACTGGGCCTTCCTGAATGCAGAGAATCAGAATAAGCTTTATCATCAGTAACGAGATATAGCGAGAATATGTTCGTGCAGTCGTCCAAAAAAAGGGCGGAGTGCACGTAAGTGCTGCTATGATAGCGCAGCCTCTTATCCTTTTCAGAGTACTTTTTTAGATAAACTAAACTTTTCCTTAGTTTTCACATTTCCCAGGAGAAATTGATATGTCAGCCTGTTTTCAAGGCCAACCAGGGGAGTCCGATTCAGATAAGCCACAACTGTTGATTTTTTTTCAGGCAAACTGTTTTTTCTTGTCAGCCTTGAGTCTTACTGGTACTTTCAAGATCCGAAATGGGCAGATTAGTGTGCATTCTACTGGTCCGTGCTTACCAGCCCCTCCAAGGTTGTTTCCAACATGCTGGTGTGTCCTAAAACTGCAGGTGGCCTGCGATTCTCACAAATCACTTCCATCTTACAGTTTAGCTCGTAAATCAGCTGATTTTGAGTCCTCAAAGCACGAACCAAAGCTTCACAAGCAGGCAGCCTGATGAGGGTCAAATTAGCTGCAGTTGTCTTCTTTTACGTTGATAGACCAGGAACCAGCTGCTTCCAAAAAGCAGGAAACCTTTTATCATAAATCTAATTGTATATATGTCTTCGGCGTCCTCCTGAGATTCTCAGTGGGGCATGAGAGCTCTCCAGGACCCTGTCGCTTTGTTGAAAAGATTTTGTCGATTGCGTTGAAAGTCCAGCTGATCAGATCCGTAACAGTAGTTTTAGTTTTGGAAGATGTGTAAAATAGAAACTCCGATACTCAAATGGAGAGCAAAAAAACAAGAGAACAGGAGAGGGAAGAGAATTGTGTCCACCTTGTACGAGAGCGAGTGAGAAAAAACACAAACAGGACTCCTGCCAGCCAGATTTGCAGAAGTTTGTAAATTTGAATCAGGAAAAGTTTAAGAATTTGAAACTTGTTTTCTGCCCCTGACTTTGTTGATCACAAGATTTAAAAAAAAGCAAACTTTGGTTCTGTCCTCAAATGGTTTTCATCGTGTCTGCCTTACTGAAGTTCTAGTATTTATGTAAATAGGATTATGTCAGACACTACCATGTTGTCTTGTGGTGTACCTCAGGGTTTTGTTTTCGGACCTATTTTAGTCATCTTATACATTCTCCCTCTTGGACAGGTAATTCAAAAGATTAGGAATGTGCAAAATCATCTCTTTGCCAATGATATCCAGCTCTACTTTTCCTTCAAGTATACCATAAATCAAAAACCTCGAGTAATTTTTGGCCTCACATAAAACACTGGTTAATGTCACAGCTCATCTCATTTAACAATTAAACTCGGATTATTGCTCTTGAAAACAAGTATCCTGATTCATGCTCAATAATTCAGGTAGAAAAATCCAACAAAGGTAAATCAGGTCCTCTGGACGGTTTCTTTGTGTGGAAATGTTTCGTCTTTAATCCAAAAGACTTAATCAGGAGCTGCAACAAACTCCGTCTTGTAAATAGCACCTTCACATTGTGGGTCAACCAGTTTGATGGTGTTCAGATGGTTTCTGGAATTTGGTTATTGTCAGATTATTGAGCATGAATCAGGATATTCTGAACCACTTTGGCCATGACTGCCTCAGACGAGTCGACGGGGGGAGAGGACACACTCAAATGGCTGTTTTTAGCTTTAAAAAAATACTGAAGACATGAAAAATTATTCTACAGAGTTTGTATCATATATACCACACAAAACTCACCATGTCCGTATTTTTAAGGTATAACTGGAGTGACAAGATAATGTACCTTTCTCTGCACATTTTGTACCTTGATTTCTGACATTGTCGACCCTTGATGAAGTTCAGTCGCTTGTCATTGTTCTGGCTGAGATAAATTCTGATGTTTGTTGTGAACCTGAAAGCGTGCACTGTGCAAAGTGAAAATATTTGATCCTGTCATGTTTTGAACAGTAAGGATGATAAAATGCTGGTCCACGGGCTCACTCCTCTCCTGCTCTGCTTGTTGCCTCTGTGGAGAATCCTGACAACCGTTTCAAGTCACCCACAGCAGCCATGTCATCTGGTAAGATGTCTTACTTTTACTCTGCAGTTTAATAAAAAACTTCATTTAATCATAAACAAAAACCGCCTCCGCAAGCAGAGACTGTTTAATGTTTGTTTCATGTCTTACGTGAGAGGCCAAAGAAGTTTAATAACTTTTTACAAACTAATTTCTGTTGAATCACTGAATCACTCAATTCAATTCAACCTTTATTTATACAGGTTAGTTCCCATTGAGCCTCAAGGACTCATTTACAAGAGAGACCTGCTACAGACAAACAAAAATAGATAAGGAAAAGAGAAACATGAGAGGGAGGGGAGGTTAAAAAAAAATTGTATCTCGCACTATGTCCTGGCGGGGGCACAGTGTGAAAGTTGCAAAAAAATACTTCACACGTAAACAGCAACATACTGATGACATCATAATATATTTATGCACGAGGGAGCCGACGAAGGCGGTGAGTTGTCCGTAAACACGGTCAGAAAGTTCCATAGACCTGATAAGAGATGGCAGTGTCTGTCAGCCGGCTCAGCTCTGATACAGGCCCACAGATGTCCTTGGGAAGGGCAGGTGGTGGGGTGGGGGGGCAGAGCAGAGCTTCTTGTTCATATAACCTCCAGGAGAAATTTGAGATAATTGGCCTACTCAAGGCCAAGCGGGGAAGCCAGATTCAGAGAATTGTTTTAGGACAGCAGACTCTGCTTGATTTTTTTTGTCTGACTTCAATGACCACGTATGTCACCTTTCCCCCAAAACTCAAACTGTATATCAAATTACTTCTCAGCTACTGAGAAAACAAAATGTACTACTATAATACCTACAAAAGAACTGAAAAAGACAAAAACATAGGTTGCTAAAATTAAAGGCACCATTCTTTGATTTACTGCAAATTGTCTGCCTTGCACGCCAAAACTTAGTTTGACCGTTAAAGCTTATGATGATTTAATTGTTGAGTCGTATATAAATCCAGTTTTCGTATAAATGATTTGAAAAGCCAAAGCATTTTTTCTGTTGCTAACACAAACCTTTATGTGTTCTTGATTTTTTTTTTTTTTAATTGCAGATACAAGAAACTGCTCGCTGCAATAATGGCAAACTCTCATCTGTGCCCGAGGACCTGCCGGTCAACGTAGAGGAGCTTCAGCTGAACTACAATCATATTAAAACACTACAGGAGAACTCTCTTCTACGTTACCCATCACTAAACACCCTAAGCTTAGCTTGCAGTAATCTGGAGAAATTGGAACCAAAGGTTTTTCAAGCTTCAAAATTATTAGAGAGCCTAAACTTTGCAAATAATAACCTCCACATTGGCTACCAAGAGAGCAGCCTTTCGTTAAGGACAGTTCCCGGTCTTAGAGTTCTAGATCTTTCTGAGAACAAGCTGAATGAAGAAATGGCTTTTGCACTTCTTCAAAACTTGACGTCCCTGGAGTACCTCAATCTTTCTGGAAACCTCTTGAAAAGACTGGACGAGACGTCGTTCAGTGATCTCCACCAGCTCAAGGACCTGGACCTTTCGAGGAACGTCATGTTTGAGATAGACGGCGCTTTCAACGGCAACCCGAAACTCCGGCGGCTCAACTTGGCCTTCAACTATCTGCCCTGCCTGACAGACTTCCACATGACTAAGCTGGTTGTCCTTAATGCCAGCCACAACGTCATTGAATGGTTCATCTCCAGGCAAGACCTCAACGAGACCTTCCAGCTAGAGACGCTCGATCTATCAAACAACAAGCTCCTCTTTTTTCCTTTCCTCCCCAGTCGGAGTAACTTACAGAACCTTTACCTGTCCCACAACATTGTGAGGTTCTACCAACACTTAGTAGACAACGTTACGTCCACAAACCTATCCTCAACCGTTGAGTTTTACAATCTGAAGAAACAGGCACGCAATATGACCGCTCAGTTGTGGGATGACAATCTGCACGGTGATATTTCCACTGTAGAGATTTTGGATCTGAGGGGAAACCAGGTGGATAATTTCCCTCATGGATTCCTCAAGAAAATGTCTGCTCTATCAAGACTTCGATTGGGCACAAACTGCTTGGAAACCCTAAACCTTACGTCAGAGCAGTTTTCTGGCAGCTTGTACGAGCTGGACATCAGCAACAACAGACTGAACCGTATTTTAGCAGATAACGGTATGCTCACTAATCTGGGTAATTTGACCTACTTTAACCTGAGCCAAAACAATCTGAACGAGCTACCCTATGGATTATTTTCTTCATTGCCAAGGATCCGGTCAGTGGACCTCAGTTATAACAACGTTAAAATTTGCCATTCGGAGGAAGCTAAAGTTGGTGCACACAACTTTTCAGCTTGCATGGATTGGAGGAACATCATCTCCCTCAGACAACTCTACCTTAAAGGGTGCAACCTTGAAAGAATTCCAGCGTACGCATTCAGGGGGTTGTTGCTGACGCACCTGGAACTGTCTGATAACCCCGGACTCATTGTCCAAGATTCGTTGCAAGGCTTAGGAGGCACATTGCAACATCTAGGCTTAGGAAACACTGAAATACAAGACCTCGACCTCTCCTCTTTTCAAAGTCTGAGGTTTTTAAACCTTTCGAGAAACTCTCTTCTCCATATTCCTCCCTCAGTTCAAAGCATTGACTTGAAAGTTCTGGACTTGAGAGACAACAAACTGTCCACGATCCCCAACGGTCAGGTGAATACTTTGGCCTCAAAGCTTCAGACTGTTTTTCTCACTGGAAATCCGTTCAACTGCTGCCAAACTGAATGGTTCAGGACATTTGAAATAAACACTGTGAATATGGTCGGGCAGGCAGAGATCCAGTGTAAGGATCTCCTACATACGACCCACAGAGCGGAGGACTCTCATTTGTTTTTGTGTTTTGAAGGGGAACCCGTACTGTGGTACATTCTCCTTTTTGTACCCGTCTGTCTGTTTTTTGTTGGAGTCTCTATTATGGTTTTCCTCACCTTAAAACCTAAAATGCTACAAAAATCCATCAAAAAGAAATATTTAAAGCCAACTTCCTACTGATACTTTATAAACCCCAAGTGATGTTTTGCTCAATACATTGTAGAGAAATGTAGCCAAGTGGATATTGAAAATAAATTCAACTGACTTTAAATGTCGTTAATCCTTGTGTGATTGCTAATTCAGCTTTCACGGTGTTGTTTTCTGACTTTTGTACAATCTAACTACTTCTGCACACTTTGGGTAATTTTAGCCATTAATATATCAAAACATTTAGCTCGTTCAAAGGGTGGGCGAGTTGACGTTTGGTTTTTAAAACTTTATGCTTCAGAATCTTTTTTGTCTTCTACTGCTACTTTGAATTTTTAGATAGAGTTTTGATACTTAGCTTCTAAATAGTCATTTTATTATTATTATTATTATTTTGTTCCTCTTTAGTCTTTTGATACTTTTAGCTTTTTGAGCCCCTACTTGCTATTTTAGCCTTTAGTTAAGCTTTTGCTACTTTTACCTTCTAGGTAGTATTTTACTTGATTTAATATTTTCATCATCCTATTGCTACATTTATATATCAGTTAACATTTGGATTTTAGGTAGTTTAGCCTATTTTTAGCTATAAGCTGCCTTTTGCTACTTTTAGCTACAACTTTGAAATGTTATCATTAAGCCAGCATGTTAATACTTTAGGCTAATCTTATGCTACATTTAGCTTCTAGTAAGTATTTTGCTGCTTTTAGCTTTAAGTCAGCCTTTAGCTACTTTTAGCTTGCCTTTCGCTACATTTAGCATTCAGCTTATCTTTGTGCTTTTTGAGCATCTACATAGGTTTTTGCTACTTGTAGTGAGACAACATTTAGCTCCGTTTAGCTTTAGGTTCCCTTTTGCTATTTTAGGTTTTACCTAACTTTTTGTTACTTTAAGAAGTTTGGTAATATTTTGCTACTTTTGGTTTTAAATCAGCCTTGAGCTACTTTTAGCTAGCCGTCTACTACGTTTAGTCTTTAGCTTTTTTTTTGTTGCTTTTTTAGCATCTGGACAGATTTTTGCTACTAGTACTGAGCCAGCATTTTACTCTCTTGAGCATTAGGTTCATTTAGCTATTTTTGGTTAAATCTATTATTTTGCTACCTTTAGCTTTCCTTGCTACTTTAGCCTTTAGTTAAGCTTTTGCTACTTTTACCTTCTAGGTGGTCTTTTTTACTTGATTTAATATTTAAGTCAGCCCATTGCTACATTTACATTATCAGTTAACATTTAGCTATTTTTAGCTTTTAAGTAGTTTTGCCTACTTATAAGCCGACCTTTTGCTACTTTTAGCTACAACTTTGAAACGCCAGCTTTAAGCCAGCATGTTAATACTTTAAGCTAACCTTATGCTACATTTAGCTTCTAGGTAGTCTTTTGCTGCTTTTAGCTTTAAACCAGCCTTTAGCTACTTTTAGCTTGCCTTTAGCTACATTTAGCATTCAGTTTACCTTTTTGCTTTTTTAGCATCTGCATAGTTTTTTGCTACTTGTAGTGAGTCAACATTTAGCTCTGTTCAGCTCTAGGTTCCCTTTTGCTACTTTAGGTTTTACCTTTTGCTATTTTAAGATTTTAAGTAGTCTTTTACTGCTTTTGGCTTTAAGTCAGCCTTGAGCTACTTTTAGCTAGCCTTTTGCTATGTTTAGTCTTTAGCTAACTTTTTTATAATCTGGACAGTTTTTTGCTACTAGTAGTTAGCCAGCATTTTACTCTGTTTAGCATTAGGCTCATTTAGCTATTTTTGGTTTGGTCTAACCTTATGCTACTTTTATCTTTTAGCCAACCTTTACCTGTTTTAGCTTTAAGTTGGCATTTTTCTGCTTTTAGCGAGCATTTTGCCTCTTTTAGTGCTTAAGCTGGTGTTTTAGCTGCTCCTTTCAGCAGTTGTTCCGTTTCTTTCAACTTCAACAACTCTGTTTCAGCTTCTTTAGCTAGCTTCAGCTGTCATTCAGCGCTCCAACTGCAGCTATGCTGTTTGGTTCAGCAAGATGCGGTTCTAATCCAGGCCCTAATTCCGACATCACCAAGAAAAACTGCGGCTGTGTCGGTGTGGGACTCGGTTTGTGTGTAGATAAGCAGAAGTAGTGTGATGCAAGCTGTTGCTATAAGCGGCAGAGGAAACATGAAATGTCCTGTTTTGCTAAGATGTGCAGCAGCTGCTCAGCTCTGGGTCTCAGAGGGGGGGGGTTGTGGTTTCCTTCTCATCAACAAGACAAAAAAATTCCAGGGTACAAGTTGTCATGATGGTTTGAACCTCCGGTAAATTTGTTCAGCTACAAAGCTGACGTCAAAGCAGAGCTTCCTTTGATTCATTAAAGAATAACTGTTGAACGTCATCGAGTGCGAAGACAAATAAAACATTTCTGTTTGTTAAATGTTGCTCAGCAGCGGAGAGGCTGGTACGAAGGTGCTCGGCTCTTTAAAGACTAACCAGAACGTAACCAAACCGACCAACGTCACCGCTGTGGTGCTCCGGGTCACGGTGGTTGGAACATTAAAAAGAGAAACCAGAGCTTCATCATTTGATCAAACTCACGTTTACATTAGAAGAAGCTCGCGCACAAACATGACAGGTTTTTATTTTATATTCAGAATTCAGCATAAAAGCTTATTGCTGAAGGATTTTAGCTGAAAGCTGCTAAAGAAGCCGAAACCAGGCTGAAAAGTTTGCTTTGCTGAACTGTGAGTTGAACTGGACTGCTGAAAGCAGGAAAATTAAAGCAGCAGAAAAACAGCCGAAATGTGTCTGAATGGCAGCAAAAATTTGCAGAATAAGCTGAAATACACAGAGAGGGGATGAATAGGTTACAACATATCAGAAATTAGCTAAATAAGATACTGAAATAAACAGAAAAAGCTGAAATTGGTTTAAAAAAATGTTTAAAAAGCTGAAACTAGCAGAAAGAGGGTGAAAGGAGCATAAAAAGTTGAAATTATTAGAAAGAAGCACAAAAGACAAACATTAACAAAAAAGAAAAAAGCTAAATTAGCATAAAATATCTGAAAAGAAGCTAAAAATGCATAAAAATGTTTAAAAAGTGTAAAAAAAAAAAAGCTGAAATGAATGACTGAAAGGAGCAGACAATTTGAAATTATTAGAAGCACAAAAGAGAGAAATTAAAGTACAAATAGCTAAATTTACTGGAAATACCTAAAAGTAGCAGAAAAGACTGAATCTAGCAGAAAGAAGCTGACAGGAGCAAAAAAATAGAGCGAAAAGCCTAAATTAGTAAAAAAAAAAGGTTTAAGTTAGAAAAATAACTGATAGAAGAAGCTAAAAAAAGGCTGAAATTAGAAAAATAAGTGGCAGAAGCTAAAAAAAAGCTGAAATTAGCAGAAAAAGGCTAAAAGAAGCAGGAAATTTTGAAATTAGAAAAATCATGAACGTACACAAATTAATAGCAAGAAAAAAGCTCAAATCGGCTGAATAAATAAATAAATATGAAATAGCTGACAAAGCAGAAAGAAGCTGAGAAAGAGCTGAACAAAAGCTGAAATGAGCAGCCAAAGGTTTAAACAGCTCAAAGGGCTCGAGTGCTGTGGAGAGAGCTCCATTCATTTTCTATGATTAAAAACATGGCCGACAAAGCTCGATATTTCAAAAAGTAAAAATGTCACAGCAGGAACGTCCTGGAAGAGCCGAATGTTTTGGTACACGAGCTGTTGAAGTAGAACAAAAATTGAGGAACGAGGTTTTTTTTTTGCTGAAAAAACTACGGAAGAAAAACGGATCTAAATAATGAGAACGATTCAAAAACATTCAGACTTTAAAGACGATGAAAAAGAAAACGTCGTTAACTAAATAACAGCCAACATGAAACGTGTTTTGAACGTTTGCATTTTTTGGATCGTCTGCAACAAAAGTAGAGAACGCAGGACGGAGGAGGGCCAGACGGAAGTTGAAGCAGCTCGCTTTGAGGAAGGAACTTTGCTGCTGGTCAGTTTGTGGAACGAGAGGAATTTATTTTGATTACTCAGCGAAATTATACAAACGTCAGCTTTATTAAAAGGTTAACGGCTTTTCATAAAGACAGCACCCACAGTTTTTGATTACTTAAGAATAATTCAGTCTTACGTATTAACCGATATGTGTGGGCTCATAAAGAGCCACGCTTGTGCTGATCTTCCTCTGCCGGGTACGAGGCGAGGTAAACCATGTTTTTTACTTCCCCGTGTTTATTCTTCCCTGAAGCAGCAGCTTGAATTCTCACAGATCAACGCGAACACATTTGGAGAAGTGAAATCTGATGGGGAGCGACCAGATTCATTCTGAAAGCAGCTCTGTGGGACACGGGAAGAGAGGAAACCACCAGACGACGCACACGCGTTGGACATTTTACTAACACGGATCAGTCGCATGCTGTTTTCAGCTGATCTCATGCTGCTGATTATTTTGAGTTGTGTGCTTTGGTCCTCATCTGCTCGCGCAGACTCATGTTCGTGCCGCTGTTGTTTTTGTACCATTAGTGCTTCGTGTATTCAGGACTCGGATCTTACTCATGTTTTTCTTTACAATTTGTGTTTTTGTTGGGTGTAACTGGGACCCTGCAGTATCGTCCCACCTCATGTACCATGTGTGGCGTGTATGACAAATAAATCTGATTAATTTCAGCATTTTCAGCTTCTTTCAGCTTTTTTTTAAAGTGTTGAAATCAGGTCTCTCTTGTAAATGAGTCCTCGAGGCTCAATGGGATTTACCTGTCTAAATAAAGGTTGAATGAATTAAGCTCATTTCAGCTTTTTTATGCTAATTTAAGCTTTTATCTGCTTCTGTGTGCTAATTTCTGCTTTTTATGCTTATTTCAGCCTTTTTCTGCTTCTTTATAATTATAGCTTTTTCTGCTTTATGCCAAATTAAGCTTTTATTCTGCATCTTTAAGCCAATTTCAGCTTTTTTCTGCTTCTTTCTGCAAAATATAGCTCCCTTTAACTTCTTTCTGCCAATTTTAGCTTTTTCTGCATCTTTCTGCTAATTTTAGCTTCTTATTCTCCTTTCAAATTATTTCTGCTAAATTCAACTTTTTCAGCTACTTAGATATTTTTCAGTTAATTTTAGCCTTTTTCTGCTATTTAGTTTGTGTAAATTCTT